GTATTTTCTATTTTATGAATGAGGTGCTTTTGATGTACACTGCATGAAGTCAACCAGCTTATTCTATGGGTACAAGAGACTTATAATCATGCTCAAGGCATGTCTACGTCGTGGAATATAATTTAGAAACCACATGAATTGTCAGACAAACCGAAGTAACGTGGTAAAGCATGCAGAGCAGTGAGACTCACCATAAGGGAGTTCCATAAGCTCATGCACACAACAGAAATTCAGGTCGATCAATGAAAAAATAAGATAACTCAAAACTCCTGTGCACTGTTGACAACTGAGGTTTATTTAGCCCGAGATCGTGAAAAGGCACGCGTATATCCTCTTAGTGATCTTTCCTCGCGGCTCAACTTCGCAAAAAGGTGCATTTCAGGAACTTCAGAGGTAGTCGCACATGAGGAAAGTTCTTCAAAGCACGTGAATACACTCTTAAGTCCGAATAATCTGCGGTTGCCCGAAGAATGTTGGAAATAGTTCACAGGTCTTTTGCCGCGTCTTGTGCACTACGTCGCGTCGACTCAGGACGTCATGGTCTTCTCTCTCTTCACCAGTCGACGTCATGGTCTTGAAGTAGTATCCTGTTCTTCTGGCACCCAAAAGAGCACGTCACCAAGTTTAGGGCTGTTGCGCACGGCCATCGGCTTTGTGAAGGCTAGCTTGGAAGCGGGTACGAGGCAGTATGGCCGACTGCCACTTCACTTACTTTTCTCCTCTTCTTTGATGTGGTCTTGTTCGTCGTCGCAGTCAGCCTGTTCCTTAGCCTCCCCACTTGAGGAACAGCCAGAAGCGGAGTTCGATGCTCCCGTCGCCATATGGGCGTGGCTGTTGTGATGCGCGGCGCGCTTCAGCGTATCCACCAGTAGGTGGTGAAACTTCTTGAGTGACGTCAGTGACCCTGACCTTGGCCGGTGTGGACCTAGGGCATCCAGGTGTTCGTGAGTGCGGTACATCTTGCGGACGTCTTCGCCGCTGCCGTGCACATTGGGTGACGTTGACAGACTTGTGCTCCCCAGTGGACTACCGATGTTGCTGTGATCGGGTGAGCTGCGTCGACTCCGGTTGTAGATGTCGTAGTCGTTTCGAACAACGGGCATCATGAAAGCCATCTTGAAGGGCCGGTGTTGGAGAAGGCGCCGACCAAGACTTCTCTACTGAGACTCCGCAGTGAAAATGAACCCGTCGGGAGGTGCTCGAGATTGGCGGGACTTTTTCTCTATCTCTTTTTTTTTTTAGCTTTGAGAATGCTTATTGCTTTTATAGCGCCTACTGAAGAGCTTGGCGTTGCGGTTTCCTTTGCTGTTCTCGAGATTAGCCTATCGACTAAAGGTGCACCCGCTGTCTGACACCGCAGGTGACAACGGCTGTGGACTCGGCGAAAGAGAAGGGAGCACCAAAGAGATAACTTTTTTTTACACGTGATCACGGCGTGTAAGGCTACAGTTGGTTCTCGAAAGATCTTCGTTCTATTGTTAATAGTAGCGAGACCGCTTTTTTTTTCTCTTTTTTTGAGGGGACTAAAGTGCACTCGATAAGATTTGCTCCGGGAATCATGAAGCCGATTTCAGGTAGTCTGTATGGACTTTCTGTCTCTTCCCTTCTCGCTGTCTGTATCTATCACTGATACGGCTCTCTGGGCTTCGCCACGCGAAGCAATGTTTTTATGTGCGGCGAGAAATAACGTTGACGAGCACGCCACGAGTGCGTGAACAAGATGGTGTCAAGTATTTACTGGGCTCTGTTACACGCGCTTGTTTTGTTACTGCGTGAAAAAAAAAAAGCAGTGAGATCATCATTCAGATAGCTCATATCCGCGACGGCTAGACAGTGTTTGGGTTTCCTCCACTACGGTGGAGGCATTGCACTTGGGGCAGAAAGAACAGGCATGTAAACAATCTGCGTGTTTCCGAGAAGCGGTGACCTTGTGCCTAAGCCTTGGCCTCGATCGCCAGGTGCGGGGTTGCACGTACACCCTACTGGAAAGATCTTTGGAAATGGCGGCATCCTAAGCGAAGCCGGTCAAAGACCAACGCACTTTATGAAGTGGTGTCACGGCGCTCTCAGACAAGTATCTCTAAGTACAGTGACGCTGCTTCTAGGAATTAAACAACAAATATGTTTACCGTCAAATTTCCGCGTTGCTTACTTTTTTCTTACGGTAAGAACAGTGCTTCCTTTTTGATGTCATAATTAAACAGAACGGGCGATAAGTAAGATCACTAATGAGGAAGTATTGATAGCTGCAACATCAAAAGCTTTTGGCTGCTAGGTACGCCCTGACTTACGTAAAATCTTCGTTCGCACAGTAGCGCAGATAACACACATAAACATGCAAAGAGAATATAACACGTCTATGTGTTGTTTTTGCAGCACTGTACATGACTCCCTGCCAATTATAAAGACCATGTCCGTCCTTGTGGAAGTCTCCCATAAACCGTGTCGCGCGCTGCTGGTGCCGACGCAGCAACGACAACGAAACGGATGCAGGCGCGCGGCGGGCGGCACACAAGAGCAATCGAATAATTTGTTGGTTTTAGCATTCGATGTAACAGCGTCATTATTCCTTTCGCTTCACCACTACTAGTGCTTTCATACGGTTTCTGAAAAATTGACTGCATATACAAGTGACCCATCACCGCTGTAGAACGCAAAAGCCGACAAAAATGCTGTCACCGTGAAAGGGATATTTCTGGATGAACATCAATGGTAGCGTTTATTCTGTTGTTAATTTTCCACACCAGTTCTTCTTTTATTATTGTGTTTATTTAGCAAACAGTAAAAATAATGCCAAAGAGTTGACAATTGTGGCAGTATAGCATGAACATAAGGCAACCATATGAAGTCGCATTTCAGAGTAGAGAACGTCCACAAATTTTAGCCCCATGCAAATCCACTACTTTGTTTACATCTGTGTTTGTCATTACCACATTCAATACGGTAGGTATGGGGTTTCTCTTTGTTGTGCAGTGTGCGAAAGGGACCAGGCCAAAGGTCGTTTCAACGCTGTAGGAAAACGGTTGTTATAGCGCGAGATCAGAACGACGACAAAGGGACAAGAAGAAGACGAGTGATGTCTTCTTCTTAGCCCAAACCACTACACTTCTAAATGTACGAAAACGTGCCGCAGTTGAGATCGCCATCGATCGCCACTACCTGTGCGTACACAACTACGTCACATCTTTCACCGCACTCCCCCAGCCCATTGACAGTCATAATGTTGCTACTTTGTCTAAACACCTAACCGTTATTAACAAAAAAAGGGGGGTTCAACTTGATCATGAAACGGTGCCAGACTCTGTGGAAACTCTGCGAGAAGTGAACTACCGTCCTTTAGTTCACCACCGCATCCAACATCGTTATGAAATTCAAAATTGCTATCATAACGCAAAAAAAAAAAAAACAACCCTGCTGCATTCCAACAATAAAGCAGTCAATGGATGGTGGCAATGAATCAATGAAATTGTGAGACGGTACTAGCCTGGTTTAAGGTGAATTGCACAGCAAAGAAAAAAGTAAATGGAAGAGTTGTTTTCTTAGTAGGTGGTTCAGAAATTCAGATAATCAGTTTTTTTTTTTTGTACTATGCGGCTTGGAATGGTCAGCTTTTATTCAATCGATATCTTCGTAAGTATTATAATGTATATGCTTAGAAACCTAATCATGTGTAAAAAAGGGGGAAGTGAAATGCAACATCGACTGCTGTGAGATCGGCCTGAATAAGTAGGAACAACATGTGTGAATACGGGCACGGATAAAAAAGGTTTGTTGGCAATTCATAGAGACAGTAATGGCTGAAGTTGGCTGAAGTTGGTAAGTTAGTGTGGTATTCATCGTATAGCATTTGGTCTGTCCGTCTCAGTTTTTGAAAACGAAGTGGTCAAAACAGTTTATGCGTTAGCCTACGCGAATGAAAGTGCACACAGAAAGGTAACCACACAGTTTTTGAAGACCACTATTTTCTGTTCTCTTGTTGTTGTTTTTTCGGCTTTGTGCCTGCATCACGTGTATTCGGCGCCTGCTGAGACAAGCTTCCAAAGGAGGCGCCGCAGAGATTGCAGAAAACCGCGTGTTTCCCCTCAGTTTCTACCACTGGCAGCAGTATCGTACGTCGATAAGGCAATGTTTGAAGTGTTGCTATTTTGCGGAACACTCGACCTTTAGATTCTCTCTTCCCGGTATTACGCGACTATTCCTGTAAACGTATCCCACAGCATGTTCTCCGGAATATGTTTGCTGGTTCATTTTCGCGTTCCTCCTGTAGGCGCCGCCTTCTATTACGTGGCGGCAAGGAAACTTTCCATGCTCCGGGCATGTCGATCCTTTGCCCTTGCAGCTGACGCATGCAGTGGCGGCGGAGCTGTTTGTCACTCTTCAAAGAGCGCCGGTCCAACGCATGCACGTTCTTGTATATCAGGTGTCTTAACTCAAACGCGCGACGACCCCCGGACTTCCTGCTAGCGTTGCCCGGTCCCCAAAAGACTCCCTAACGGCTTTTTCGCCGTTAGGCAGTCATGTGACAGCCCAATTTATTTGTTCTATCGGTTCGGTCGGAGTTCGGCTGAATTCAATTCAATTCAATTTTATTTCATCCCAAGGATGAGGGCAGGCTCGGGAGAAAAGTGACGTTTTGTCACTTGAGGAGAACCCGAGCCTCCCTAATACATGGCAAGCAACGTGGACATGGGTAAAGAAACATAAGCCATGAACATATAGGCAACGAACATAGGCCATGAGATGTTTGGCGCAGTACAAGTCGGAAGATGCACGTACAGTAATGCTATGTACAGAGACTAATATGCGTAAGCAGTTTCTTTCGGCACAAATTCCGAAGTATAATGCAAAATATGACGGAATACAAAATACTATATATGACAACAATGCTATGCATAGAAATTGCGTGTACACACATACACATAAATACATACATATATGCAGATGATATGTATGTATATAGTCAGGCATAACGTTAAAACAAGTTAGTTTTTCATTCACCCGCTCGATCCTAGGTGTGTGGTGGTGTGTGGTGTTGTGTGTGTGTGTGTGTGTGTGTTGTGTGTGGTGTGTGTGTGTGTGTGTGTGTGGTGTGTGTGTGTGTGTGTGTGTGAGTGTGTGTGTGAGTGTGTGTGAGTGTGTGGTGTGTGTTGTGTGTGTGTGTGTGTGTGTGAAATTTTCTAAAGTATTTTCATGAGCTACACAGACGTGACCCGCCTCAAGCTTTTTTTTTGTTTCGTGAGGCACTCCACGTGGTCACTATGTATTTGATCACGACATGTAAGAAACTGTCTGCTGCGACAGTTTTGCAGCACTTCCTGCCATCTTATTATCTCTCTAGCCCCAGCCCATCTGCCTCTAAATTTCGGAATGAGGCCCGCTAGCGGATGCGAGTTCGCTGCCCATTGTTTTTACAGTTACTGTTTCCGGTCTATTACGTCATTCAGCTGTATTTAACGTAACCTCAAAGCGTTTTTATTTCGACGACCACATAGCTTAATCATCAGCGGCTGTGATGAAGATGACTTGTCTGTGCACCTGGTCTGCCTGCTCTTCGCAGCCGATTGGCGCGTTGACAACATTACAAATACACGTTTTTAAGCAATGTGGGACGCTTCGCGTAAAAAAAAGGGCGTACTTCATAGCTTTCTGACGCGCTTTTCTGAACGATGCCACAGTAGAGGTTAATAATGGTTACGTGCAACTGCCCGCGCTATCTCCCTGCGCACACACACAGCTCTAGCAGCTGTTCGCAGAAGCGTACAAAATCAGCTTTAAACTAAGCGAACGAATGAAATTCATGAACTGACTCTGGCAGGTGTGCAGCGAGACATAGCTTGCAGTCTCTGTTTTAAGTTTTAACTACCGGGAACGTGTCAGCGTAGATTTGATCAAAAAGTAAATCAGGTAGTCAAGCAATCAATCAACCAATCAATCAATCAAACCATTATTTACGATGATACTTTTAATGGAGCTGTTTTTTTTCATTTGCACTAGGCCACTTTGGCCTATCTTCCGGATAATACTGGGCACACATATGCGTGTGTATACGTACACCAAAGCGATAGATAGGCCGGGCTAGCTTGTACATGAACTGGAGCGGCAAACAAGAAGCAAAGAGAAGGAAAGCGACGGGTCAGGGTGGCACTTACAACCGATCAAAGGCATGCTTGAAAGGTGAACTTATACCCGGTCATTTATACATACAATTGTTAACACTTAAGACAAGGGTAATGACCAAGTCCCCGCACGCCCTTCCTCTCTTAGGCTCTTTGGCCGCACCAGCACCAGCACTGCTTTGCAGATACCAAACTCGGGAGAAAAGTGACGTTTTGTCACTTGAGGAGAACCCGAGCCTCCCTAATACATGGCAAGCAACGTGGAC